ACATGTAAAGCTCTAGAGTGTATGGCGCCGGCTGCATGCTAGAAACGGAATTAAGCCAAATGGAATGTAATTCAGGGTCGCTACCATCAGACTTGTCCACAGTTTTGATGGGGTTTGCTCCTCGATAAGCCCCACCTGAACGTCGCTTGACCGATCTACACACTCGCGCCAGGTGGCCCACCTTCCCGCAGCTTCGACATACTGTCTTCTGATGCCGGCAGTCGGATGGACAACTGTGCTGCTCACCACAGCGATAGCACACAAACAAATTGACGCCAGTGGGTGGCTTTGGTTTTGGTGTAGTGTTAATCAATCGCAGCTCATCTGACGAGTCCTTCAGCGTAAATGTTGCGAGTTGTTGTGTAAGATGTTCCCTCTGCCGGGCAATCGAGCAGGCCGTCTCCCAGGTCAGTGAACAATCATCTTGTGAAAGGAGCTTCTCCCGCGTGCTCTGGTCTGAGATTCCGGCTATCAAACATTGGAATAACATGGTCTCTTCAAATCTCGTTGGATCGACTTCATTGTATTTACAATCAGGTGCTGCTTGTAGTACACGAGCGATGAACTCGTTCACACTCTCATCTGGTTTCTGGCAGAGTTTCGAGAAGTAGTATCTAGCCGTAAAAACGTTCTGACGAGCACCCCAAAGAGCACTGAAGGTTTCCAAAGCGCCGGTTATCGTAGAAGAGATTTCATCAATACGAAGTGCATCGAAATACCTTTGACCCTCATCTCCAAGAAACTGTCTCAAGAGCTTCACTTTGTTTTTCTCAGTAAGAGATACTGCTGGATTCAAGATTGGAAGCAATTCCAAGTAATCCGTAAAGGTTTTCTGCCATCTATGCCACGAGTCCAGGGAAGATTTGTCGGTAGAGCACGACCAGAAGACCGGTGGAGTATTTGTCATGGACATGTTGACCTCCGTCGCCAGATATCACAACTGAACGCTAACCGTAAGTACGTATTTCAACTCGTAGCGAATAAGCAAGAAGACGCGTCAGTTTGGCGCACAGGGTACTGAACACTTAACGGTTTACATGAGAGCACGGAACGTTAGGGTGTGTCCTTGAGTGCGTGTGTGCGTGCTTATCTACGTGTGTGTGTAGGGCCAATCAGGTTCACGGTCATAGTGAGCGATCATTGGTTGAACACGTAACAGTCGTCCCCACCGGGGGTGCAACTCGTACCCCATATGACCCGGTGAAGAAGTCAGTCGGCATTTTATCCATTCTCCCCGCCCATTTTCCACTAACAAGTTTGGTGGTTCCGTTTTCTCATTCGGTTACGTCCAGAGAGATTTCAACTTCCTCGTTAAACGCATTCCTCCATAAATCTTCCAAGGTAGTTCTCATATCCATCAAATTGCATCTATCGATGACGAACACCTCTAAATGCATAGTGTTCGTTTACTGACCAATCTCAAATCGGCCAATAGTATATTAGACGAGTACACAGAACGGGCTGTTCTCGCCCGTCGGATGTAATTCAATAGCCGTAAGGACCATCTTGAAAGATCTATAGAGAAACATGATTTCCTTAAGGAGGAATTTTAAAACTTTACGCGTGTAATCGACTGAAAATGTGTGTAAACCGAAACCAGTAAACTTGTTAGATGGAAAATGGGTTTGGAGAAGTAATAGAATGCCGACTGATTTCTTAGGCGGACCTAGCTAGCTACTGTGCAGGCACTTCCAAGTCGACTGCTACGTGGTGCTCCAAATGATTTGCTGGTTTGCATACCGGAGTAGCTGTGTCCCCGATGGTCACTTTGTCGAAAACGTTGCGGCAATTATTGCCAAGCCTTGTGGAGCTTTTCAGCACCAGTGTCGCTTCGGCAGACGGTGGGATTTGAACATTGTGGTTTTAATCAGATTCCGCAACCTAAGCACATGATACGGTTTCGAGACCTCCGTCATCATCACACGGGTTGCCACCTGGCCGGTGATAGCACGGCAAAGTCACGTGAGAAACTAATGAAATCAGTCCATTAGCATGAAACAGGTGGCTTCGTGACAGCCGTGAGTGAGAGCGACTGCAGCTGGCCAATGCGGAACGGTAGCAGGTATGGAAGCGGTCGAGGCAAGCGGCGTGATTCAGTTCAGAAAGCGCAGCCGGAGATGATCGAATGTGGCCTATAAAATTAACCCTTTTCTCTTGCTAATATACTTCAGTCTAGTAGGCTTTGGTGTTCTGTTTTCTTTCCCATCTGGATTGCGGCGCAGACGGTAGGAGTGAGGGCAGCGTTACAACAGGTTTAAGGAAATGTTTACAACACCTGTTTGCAGCCAGTATAACTGTATGGATCAGGGACTTGGCCGCTGCACTGAGGAAATTATGAGCCTGACTGCTTATTTCTGGTAAAAGAGTCGAGTGGGTAATAATGAAGTTTTGCTGAGGGTAGATCACGCTATGTCCCAATTGGCTTGCAAGTTGTGACGTTCTGCTACGGTCCCTCATGTCTCAGTGGCATATGCTACTAGGTACTGGCGCATCTTCTAGCGGTTCTGGGTTTAGTTTCCAATAGTCGAATAATTCGCACCAATGACAGGCCCAACTAAGGCGAACATGCCGCCTGGTGACTTTCCGGATTGGTGTTAGGAGTAACTTGTGTTACTGGGACGAAACAGTTAGCTTTCACCGAAAATCCTCTTACTACTCGTGAGTAGTGCTGAAGTTTGTCAGTTTTGTCTGGCAGCGGTCCTTCCGAGGCCTCACTGGAGTCCCTGCTAAACTCAAATCATCTTCATTGGCTCCGTCTTATGCTCCGCATGTTTACCAGCTCATTGTCTCAGTGTGTGTCGTTTGTCACCGCCACACATAGTCAGTCAGTGACAAGATATAAGGGCATGATAAAACTAGCCGATTAAATCTTGTTGATTCTTCTCGTCTTCTCTATGCGACCTCGGGATGGCCCACATTAGCGCTTTCATGCCTTATCGGCTATCTCAGTCACGAAGTCATTTCTTTCCTCCATTCGTCTCTTTAATCCTCAACTCGCAACCATTTCATCTGATGTACTCCGTTTTTGCGAATTCCTAAATTATTTTTCTAAATAAGTATATCAGAAGACGAAGATTGTGGGATTGGATTCAGATGGACTGGAACGATAGGAAAATCCCTTGAGTGTTCCTTCTTGAGCAAATCGTTGAGCCAGGGAATGATAAGGTGCTAGTTCTTGATAGATCTAAAACGAAACACCCGAAACACACCCTGATCAACCAATTACTGCCCACGTTCCCTGCACTAGTAGTCCCCGCTGTGTAGGTTACATGAAGTAAGAGAGAAGTAGAAAGTAAATGGAAGATAAAGGGGAATGAAAGTCATTACAATAAAGGATAACACCAAAGAGTGAAGAAAATGACAGAATAAGAACTAAAAGTTCGAAGATGGATATGGTCAAGGGAAGGGAAAGGTTTCGTGTTGCCACCCAAGTGCGTCTAATTGACGCTCGAAACCCTTAACCGTAGGTTCACTGACTACACTTCCTGGAAGCGAGTTTCAGCGCTCGATAACTCTACGCGATAACCGAGTTTCCGCCCTGATCCAGTCAGAACGCGGCTTGTGTAGCTTCATGGGATTGGTGCGTTGCGCGCTACCACGGTAGGCTTAATTTCACTGTTAGCTGTTTTTGGGCACACAGCGGTGGGCGCTGTCGATGGATCACAACGCCCTCCAGTAGCTTGAGTATGTGAGGCCTTTGATTGCGACTCATCTAGGTTCACTTATTGACCGGGGTTCATTAGATGTCTCGTAAGTCGGTCGGTGGCCGAGTGGTCTGCATGTTTGCTTTGCAACCATAAGGTCACCAGTTCGAATCCGCGTAGGGGTGGGCTTCCTCGCGGTATACCCAGCCCGCGCGCGACTGGTGGTGGTGGCGCGGCAGCGAAGCGCCGCTACGACGTACAGCTGACACATTATATTTATTTATTTTTTTAGATGTCTCGTAATTACGGAGGCCATTTTGCTTCTCCATTCACCGCGTGCGATCGTCGCTTTTTCCATCTGTTTGCAGAGCCGTTTTGGAATGTGTTCATTGATCCGAGTACTCACATTTCGAGTAGTGCGCCCAACCTAGCTGTCGCCACAGCTACACGTGCATTTGTATAAGCGGTGGGGCGTGCACTGTTCCCACACAGTATTGTTATATTTGGAACGCCTGCCAATGCAATTAAATTTATTATATGCGGTTCGTAGTTGATGAATTGAATTGTGCATTGCTAGTACCTCTCTGCCATTTGACTACAAATAGCTGCACTCAGACGGTAACACTATCAGTGCGCTCAAACCCATATAAGAACTTAAAGACAGTAGTCTCATGTCGACTGTTGCTTCTCAGTGGGATCCTGATGCCCGCGACCATATCGCCTTTGTGATTCGTCACTACCTGACCAATGCTACCAACTCTTTCTGTGAGTATGTGGAAGTTTGATCCCTCAACGATGTCTGGTATCGCAGAAGTCAGTCCTGCAGGGAAAATCGATTTATTTAACAGTTGACGTTTTCACAAAGGTTGAAACGGCCATACACTGCTTTTTCTGGGGTGCACTGGCTGTCTGACTGAGTCTAGCTATGATTAAATACCATTTAAATACTCCTTTGTAATCAGCGAAAATTGCAGTAGGTGTAGATGGGCGAGTACGCCTTCTGTATCCAGTGATCGAATCCGTCTACCATTGGCTATCTGTGTCGTTCCTTGGATCCATCTGTACGCTCTGGTAGGGCACTCCATCACAGGTATTTCTACTTGACATTGGAATGCATCACTCCCATTCTTTTGCACGTGACCACCGCCCTCGGTCACAAAAGCAGTCATTATCGATTATTTCAGTCTCTTCCAAACATTTTGCATCAATCTCGCCTGTTTTCATAGTTCCGACGCTTTATTAGGATATTTCTAGCAATTCGCATGTCTTCGTTGTCACTTGTGTTTTAACATCTCAACCCTCTGCTTCAACGCATTCATCTTCAGTTCTCTTTTCTCCGTTTTCTTCGTCCAACAGGACTTGCTCCGTACTATGCCCAGCAATGTTTGCTTCTCCACTCCGTATTCGACTGGAGTCTCTAGGTTGCGACGTCTTTTGCGCGCGTTGGCATGGCTTTACGTGGATGTGGGTTATTGTCAAGGTATGGGACTGGTAAGTCCTCTCCGCGAATCTTTCCTAATCCACTCACAATTGGTTCGGTCGATTTTTTCTGTAAATTCCTAATTGGTGCACGCTCTAATCCCCTGGGGCTTCCTCTTGCGGATTGTGCGAAGAATACCTACCTGTCCGGACAAACTACCGTTGTCTTTGCTATGGGCATACGTTGTGAAATGATGACGGGTGCATGTGGTGATGGTTTTCTGCCTAAACTATGCTACCTTGCAATTATCTGCTCTCCGTTCGCTTCCCCAAAGTTGTTGCTGTGAATAAACGTTTACCTCCGACGTTGCGAGACGCGTTTGTTCTAGCATGGTCATGGAGGTACATTCATCCACAGAACCTCGATCGAAGGCTGTCCAGAAAAATTAACTTGAAAACAGCTACAGCGGAGACATAATGAGAAGATGGATCACTCAGTAGGAACGTTAGATCGCCAAATGGGAGAGGCTGCTTGAATTAAAGGATCATGTGAAACGGAGTCCAAAGGTTTGGCGATATTAAGTGGAGCATAGGACGAAGGTGTAAAATTCACATGAGAAGAACGAAGCACGACATGAAGAATACTCGGAGCTCGAAACAGACATTTTTGCGATTAAAGTCTTCAAGATAAGATAATCCATCTGCCGAAGAGAATACGGTGAAGTGGTTGGGTGAAGACAGACGTCGCAAAAATGAGTCGCACATGTTCGGTGCATGAGGGATCGGAAATCTTAAGACCGAAGCTAATCCGGAAAAAGTTCATGTGGGACGGGTAGGAAGAAGGTGCAAGAAAGATATTTTATTCGTGTCATAATTTTCTTTATAATTTTGGATGCCTGAAGTAATTTATCGAAAGAAATATTCTTCGCACAATTGTTAAGTTCCAATTTCGTTTGAATAATTTATGAATTGAAAGGAACGTGGAAAAAACCGGTTCATTCTGGCCACATCTTTCGGTGTAATGCAATCGATACCGGATGCAGCTGCTTCCGATTTCTTATACGTGCTGGCGACCTCGCGATATATCCAGCCCACCCATGACCGGTGGTAGTCGCGTGGCAGCTAAGCGTCAGTACGGTGTGCCGGGGTACTTCTGATACCTTTCTTCTTCCTACGGTCGGTGTCAGCTGAGGTGATGTATTGCGTCCTTCGGTTTATGGAAACAAAGTTGACGAATGAGAATCACTTTTGTGTACGTAGCCAGGTGTAACCGTCGCAAAGACTACCCCGAAGCGAATTTTACATACATGAAGCGGCATCTCAAACTGGTAGGTGGTTTACCAGTGCTGCAGAGCTCGGACGGACAGCCCCTAACCTCTAGCTCTGAGCGTGCGTCCGCCTTGGCGACGCATTCCGCTTCTGTTTTTGCAAATAACCAGGTGTCTGTATCGAGTTCGAGGTGCACCGCACGTACTGAACCCGACAGTCTGGTTTCCTGTGTTAAGGAGGTATATCAGCTATTCACCAACCTTGACGCCACCAATCCCACGGGGTAGGACGAGATCCATCCACTGAATCTCAAGTTCCTATCGGCGATCATCTCGCGTGCCCTGGCTGCCTATTCACCGGGTCGCTGTCCCTAGGTGAGCGACTGAAGATGCTCAGGAGTAAAGGCGATTCTGAAAAAGGACTCCAGCAGAGTGGACAACTACAGGCCAATTTGGCTGACATCTATTTTGGCCAAGATTGTCGAGAAGGTCCTGAAGAAGGGTCTACTACAGCTGCTCTATTCAAAAGATCTCTTGATGCCCGCACAACACGGTTTTATGCTAGGCCGCTCATACATTGCCAGACTGCTGGTGCTGAGGCATGAATGGTTGTAGGCAGTAAATCAGGAGAAGTCTGTCGACATAATCTACATCGATAAGGAGTTCGACAACGTGAACCATGAAATCCTTCTACACAAGCTGAGAATGTGCGGTGTTGGTGGATCACTGCACCAGCAGATCCGGGAGTTCTTCGTTGGACGAAATTGAAGCATACAGGTCGACAGCCATTTAACTGATTGCTATCCCCTCTGTTCCCAATACACATCAACGGTTTACGTTATCTTCTGCGGTCGCTGTGTGCCCTGTTTTGCAGACGACCTGGATATTTGGAGAGTAATTAGCATCAGCAACGACTTTGGCCTACTTCAGCAGGACCTCAACTACCTCTCGGTTGGCCTATGCAAGTCAGTATTCATTAGTGTGAGGAAGGGTGGTGACGACCGAACCTACATCCTCGACGACCAACTGCTATATTTCACACCTTCCATGAAAGAACTAGGTGTACTCATGTTACGATTTGAACTCCGGGGACAACAGGAACAGACTACACCGAAACGAACTGCACACGCTCTCGGCGTTCAAACGTAACTTCTGCATCAGGTCTGAAGAGGTCGCTACTCACCTCTTCTTCCATCATAAGGCCAGTAACGGATCACGGCTCACCCACCTACTGTCCAATCATCTGAAGCATAGGAGATCGAACGGGTCGAACACGTTGCTGCTAGGCTCATCCTGAGTTTACTGGTTTACGAAGACAGGTGCGAGAAACTCAGATTCTACACCTCGTCCCGTCTCAGCTACGAGTCGATTTCATCGTAAGCTACCGCATATTACATCTCAGTGACTTTCCTATTCGGATGCCATTGCTCTACTTACGAGGGCCATACAACACAGACAGACACCGATATAAGTTAGTTAGTGGGGCCAAATATGAAGCGAGTTCTCCACTCCCTGTGCTTCGAACGACAAGTGATAAGTGTTTGGAACAATCTACCAGAACATGTCATGTGCGCCAACTCTGTGCGGCAGTTCAAAACTTTACTGGCTTTATATTTCACCGTTATTTGATACAGAGCAACAGTCATAATGACATCCCACATTTGTGAACCCCATGATACAGTGGGTCTCATTTCTAAATGCTACACAAGAATAAGAGGAACGACTGGAATATTAACAGGTGACGATTACTTTTATAACACTTTTGATCGTATTGTGATAGAGTGGCACATAGTTAAATTTCTGCTTGCTCCCAAATACACTATTCACGGAGGCGAGGCTTACTTCGCGCTATATTGATAATAATAATAATAATAATAATAATAAATACGTACATTTCCGATTGGGCGAGAAGCTATTCTTGGATTGTGCACAGATCATGGGTACACTAATGATCATGCTCATGCATGAGTGAGATATGTATTCTGGGGGCGTGTGGTGCGTGCCGTATTCGTGGATGATCCACACCAACGATTGGAGACCTGATAGGACATCGCGCGGTCGGTGTCATCCCTGCATTCAGTTTCTTGCAGTTGACTGTTAATTTTCATTCCATCCTGATTAGTTTAGCACCCTTCTTGATTCCACTTCCTTTGCATTCAACTGAAGCGACTCCTTGTAAAGTAGCCACTGTAAGCGTTAACCATGCTCCACTTCCCTATGATTTCGTTATTGGGGTGTTTAATTTTCAAGAAATGCTACTTACTTTTATCCACTAAGCAATGTTTCTTATGACCAATCCAGCAGATTTCTCTACTGTCTTTACCCAGTCGAAAGTAAGGTTGGCTATTTTGGCAATGTTTCCATGTTAGAAGTAAGCAAATGCGCGAAGTATATTCCTTTCCATACTTCTCATCAGGCGTGTACAATTATGAAGCAAAACTTTTTGGAGAGAATGAAGCCCGTAGAGGCCTGACAGAGAGCAACCAACTCATTAACTGGGCAACATGAAAACTAAATCAATGGTTTAATCAATCAGATTGTCGCATTAGGAAGCAGGTGATCAAGGCAGGTCAAGTTCAAGGCCAAGGCAATTTCAGAGCCTGTAGCGGTATGCGCTGTTTGCACAGCTCTGGTTTTAGAACATTGATAGCAATGGCTTTAGAAATGCTCAACATATGTTTCTTAAGCTGTTTTGCGTAGCGTTTAGGGATAGTATAAACGACTCGAAACGACTGGTTCATCTGGACTTGATGTCCAGTGTCGACCAAGTATTGTAATACGGAACTGTTGATGGATTTTACCGTGCCTTTTCGTAGTGAGGCAGGACAACGTTCAGCGATTCTTTTGGACAAACACCTGGTCGTATGTCCAAGATACCTAGCACCACAGGTGCAGATGAACTGGTCTAAGACAAACGATTCGGACCGAACCGGGAGTTTATCCTTTAGGCGCTGAAGAATCAATGGTCTTGTTTCGGCAAGTAGTTTTAGCTTGGCGGCTGGAAATGTCTTGGTCACTGCGGTCGAGATTTTTCTATTCAGCAGTTCGAACACGTCACCTTTAAAACGAACTGTAAGGAATACGTCCTTTTCTGGAACTGTAGCGACACATTTGACAGCCTCAAGCTGTTTGGAGTGCTTTCTGATGAAAGGTATTAGCAAAGATCACCAAACAATCCAGCTCATATAGTTGTTTGTAATTATCATAACATTTGTTTACTTCATCGCTATCAGTCCGAATATTAAAACGCTTCGGATCGATTTATGCTGACGCACTTTACAATGATACAAAATCTAAAACAGATAAGAAAATTGGGAAAACAACTTTAAAAATCTAATCAGAATAATGGATTCACTCACCTTTCATAATTTCGGAGGGTTAAGCATGCAACTCGGTTATATGCATGATTGTATTTTGACTACGTATCGCTCCTGACACAAGAGATTCTTCTAGTCAGGTCGGCTCACCCTACCTGATGGGATCCTTTGAAGCACCTGTTGCATAAATGGATTAAGACGCGCAATCCCAATCAACAATAAAATGAGCATCGTTCACTTCGGCAACTGGAGCGTGTCTTATGAAGAGTGAACAGCAAGATACACGAGACAGAATGCAAGCTAGGTTGTGCCATAGCGGATAGGACCCACAATCAATACGGTGGCAGATACTACTAATAATAATAAATACTTATATTTCCCGATTGTGCGGGAAGCTGTCCATGGATTGTGGGCAACTCAGGTACAATAATTATCATGCTCATGCATGAGTGAGCTATGTGATATGGGGTGTATGATATCAAAATAATTTGGATTCACATAACTTGGTTGTTGCTGAGTTTTGTGTACCATCTTTTCCCATTGATTATATATTTATTGCTCCATCCTGGAAGAACTCGTGTGGTGATTTACCCGATGGAAACACGGTCATTATCGAGTTCTGGTCCAAGAATTTCCTAAGCTGAATGCGGAATGTACTTGCATTTGTGCAAGAACTGATTGTGGCTGGTAAGCTATTCCACACGACAGCATATCCGACGAGGAAGAAGTTTGATCGGATAGCTGTCCTGGTTCGTGGCACAGTTACTGTACAGCTCTTGGGGCGTATATTCCGAGTGAAGTTATATTGCAATTCTAGTGTTCACAGATTCGAGTATGTCTTTTGGTTTATGAGGTTGTATATCAGCATCAGGTTATGTCTCAGTCGTCCCAACCAAAGGGACTCGAGCTTGAGCTGCTGGAAGCACTCTTGATAACAAGGTGGTTGATTTACTGAATAAGCGCCCGTCATGCGTCGCCTCCGTTAGTTCAATGACCCAGTCACCATTGCACTACGTGTCCTCCTGTCTGCTAGTCTGGCGAATTCGCTCCCCCTATAGTTAATCGTACTATACGTCGATCGTTTTAGACTTAGCCTTATCCTTCCGGCCGCGAGCGGCCGGTGCTTGATTGATTTCCTGTCTGCTTACACAGTGACTTTCCCGCACACTTAAACAACCAACTACCGTCATATGAGTTTCTAAATGCTTAATGGTTATCTCGTTGTGCAGAACCTGCCTCATCTCTTTTACCTAACCGGATAAGACATAAGCCGACTCGTAGCCCGTAAAAGACCCTAAGCCTGCCCTGTAATCGGAGGGCGTGGATTCCAATCTGCGTAGAGAACCGGACGACCCTCGCAGGATAGGTAGCCCACGCGCGACTGTTGGGGGTTGCACGGTAGCGAAACTTCGTCGGTACTACGTACCGGCGTACTGCTGATACCTACCTCGGTTTGGACAACCGGGTAGTATCTCGTCCTCTGACGAAACCATGGACTTTAATGTGTTGTGTTGTGTTTTCTTTTACAATTTCTGTACCTTCTTTTGTGGTCCATGCTTTCTGATGGCTCTATGTCTATTCATAGACTGTTGCAAATATGTATACTGCTGATGCCTTTATTATATATAAGGCATACACCGCTCGGTATTCCCAATTAACCACGCTTCCTCTCCGGTCCCTGCGATAAAGGTTACCTTTTCAGCTGCACCTAACGTTTCCATCTCTCTTCCTTCAATTTAATCGAAATGAAAATTCTCTTGCTCATTTATCCGCCTATTTAACGGTCTACTCCTCGCGTATGGTTTGCCCATGGTACGACCACAAATGGTATCATTCAATGCCACCTCGATCACAAAGAGTACTCACTGGCATTGCCAGGAATCTTTCCGGTGCCACTGGCTCCCCCATCTCTACACTCAGTGGGTGCTTTGATCCTATTTGGACTCCTTAAATAGCAATAGCTGGGACTGAGGATTCGATCAACGCAACCCTAGATTTAAATACGGTCCCACTGGTCGAATTAATCGCGGATTACTTCAACGTAAATCGTGATTTGAGTCACCTTGCACTCCAAAATCCAACACTGACATTGAGCGTACCTCTTTTCCTGACCACTTGCCATGGGACTTAGAGCCAGCGAGTTCTTTCGACCAACTCTTCGTGGGTGGTGCATGTTGTTTTGATGGTTTTATGACAAAGTTCAACACGAGTTCAGTTGGGATTATGCATCCATCCATCCCTTTTCTTTTTCGCATTCTAATCACCGAATTAAATAAACATCCCTCCTTTTGCTCAGATCGCTGCAAATCTTCTGCTGTGTTTAGAGGAGGAAACCGCGTTTTGGATGATGTGCGCTATTATCGAGGACCTCTTGCCCCCGTCCTACTTCTCCTCAATTAGCCTACTCGGTGTACAAGCTGATCAGGCGGTGTTATGTGATCTGCTCCCGCTCTATTTGCCCAACGTTGATCGATTACTGAAGCAACACGACATCGGTGAGTTACATCCGACCCCAGTTGTTGTGACGGTGGTGGTGATTGTTTCTGCTGCTGCTGCTGCTACTACTACTACTGCTTGTGCAGTGGTTGTTGCGGACGTTTAGAGTGGTTAGGTTTGAACACCGATGTTTACGAAATGTCGCTTTTATCTGATGATTTAACCGAAATGCATCATTTGCCGCCTGACAACACCACCGAAGTGCATGTTGAGCTCCAACCCCTTTCGTTGTCTTGGAACGTGTTGTTTCTCTGGTAAAATCTAAACGTTATCAGTCGATCAGAATAAAGGTATTTGGCGCAACCAATCTATAGACTGCGTGGACTTAACACAAGTCCTCCTCTTCCTGGATGGGCTTCGCCTTGGTTACCCACGTCAGTGGTTACCTACCCTGTCGCAGTCACTAATTCAAAAGAAGCGTAGTGATTCTTACAAGCCTTCTTATGCTTTATATATTTTTGTTGACAGTCGTCTTCCTGTCTGACCCACATAGTTCTTATCACAATCGAAATGTTGTTTACAATATACAGTGTCAAGATTGCGATAAGAACTATGTGGGTCAAACAGGAAGACGACTGTCAACAAAAATATAAATCATAAGGGGGCTTGTAAGAATCACTACGCTCTCACACTGGTTTCATTACATACGGACGAAGAAAGACCGCTTCGATTGGAAAAACGCAGAAGTGCTTGCACAAGAAGATACACGAAAAGGAAGAGAGTTCCTAGAAGAATGGTACTCGACGAAACACTCGATGAACATGCACTTCGAGATTGACTCAGTTTACCAAATGTTAAGACGGAGAGAACTAACACAGCTCAAAAACCGTCGTGGGCAGCTAAACGAGCCATCAACAACACAACCGCAACAGCCGGGTCAAAACCATCCCACGGATCGTCCGTGTCTACCAGAGAAGTTGGGCAGACGGATGTAGGTCACGGGGCACAGATCGAGGAGGTCAATTCAAAAGTCACTTGCTGATCGATCCCAAATCGACGACCAAGTCGGCGGATTACATTTGACCCAGCAGCGCACTGAGGAAGTCACCTCGTCTAGTGATGAAACGTTTGCATACCAGTTACCAAGCTAGGCGAACAAGTGAATCTAGGAACATCCGAGTGTCTTCTGAACGCGAACCGCCTACGTTGCTTGGTTGCTTGATCATCTTTGTGTGGCGACGACACTGACTTTAAGCCAAGCATGACGTGCGAAACACGTAGTCGACGAGTACTGGATTCATTCGACCAGAACTGCTCGTAGAAAGTCGACTACTATACCGTCTAGTACTCAAAATCAGGTTTACAACCTAGAGTAATGTGGGGATCGGTAGCGGCACAGTGTTCTGATCGATTTGACAACATTCTGAGTGAAATGATTCGTTCGAGTTTGACAACATTTGTGTGATAATAAGCTGAACTAATTCCTAGCAGATGAAAGGAGGGGTTTTTAGGTGATTTTTATCGGTGAGGTTCTTCGCGGTAGCTTATAAATTACAATGTCTCGCATATCTGGGAAGACACCAGACAGACGTTTCTTTCTATCGCGCGACTCCTTAATGATGTGCATCCCTCAATAGGTTGCGTCAAAGTTTCTCTGCTCACAAATAATCAAAAAATTCGCCCTTAAAGCTTTTGTATGGTACTTCGCACATTGTTGCCATGCAGTAAATCGTGGCTTTAGATGCATTTTCTGTCCTCTGTAACGTTCGTTACCTGCATGGCAATGGAGGATAAGACGTGCTGTATCGCACTTGACTTTTAAATCATTACGGTCCGACATTGTCCCCCGTTACCTAGTGCCATAAGCTGCTGACTGGCAGTGTAAGCCGCTGGTGGTCATAGGTTCGAATCCTGAAGGATCCGATTGATGTGCACTACTGATGATGCCCAACAGATTGCAACTGCAGTCTTGTGCTTTTCCGGGCATGTGGACGACTATCTGAGTTGGAACCTGCTGTGACGAACTCACATTTAAGTACATCAAAATCCCCTACTCATGAGTACATCGAAATATTTATCTTACCAGTTTACAAATCCTGCCAGTGAAAGCCGTGTCTTTCGGGGTAAACTCTGTCCTCTGCAGCGTTCGTAACTTGCATGGCATTGGAGCATAAGACGCGCCATATCGCACTTAGCTTGTAAATCATCACGATCCGGCACTGTCCCCCATGGCCCAGTGGCACAAGCTGCTGACTGACGGTGCAAGCCGCTGATGATGTCCAAACAGTTGAGACGGCAGTGTATTGCCTTTTTGAATGCGTAGGCGATACTCTGACTCAGAATTTACTTCGTATAATTCTCGGTAACTTAATTACTTTTACTGTTTGCGGATGCGCACACCTGTGTGTGAAACACTTGGTATGTTTTGTAAGCGGGCTTGATGTTAGTGATCGTTCGCGCGAAACTACTCCGACCTGCAATAGCGGTTAAAAGCTGCAGGCTTCACGCTGCTCTTCATGCGCCTGTTCACCGTGTACCTCGACGTGTTTTGTTTCCGCTCAGTCTACCTAGTTCAAGTCAAAGCATGCTTTTTTCCATTCAGACAAGCCTTATGCACCGTGAGGGAGCATTTTCTGCAATTTACACCAACACTGCTAATCTAGCGCAATCTGGCATTAATTGGGGGGGGGGGGTTAGCACAAAGTGATGAGGAAAGCAAAGAGAGCATTTCCAGTCACACAAACCTTCTCATAATTGATGCATCATCCGTTTTGTGTCGCGTAACAAGCGAGACAGATATGACAAAATGGAGTTGTGATCAGATAAAGCTTCGAATATCAACCGCATCGAAGAAATAGACACCGTACTGGCTCGGACAGTGTGTAAGAGGTGAGCTGGGTCACTTGAAACCTTGAATAAAAAGTTAAAGCATGCGTCAAAATGCTTGCCGACCATAAAATCATTGAGGGATTCTTTGCTTAATCCAGAGCATTGGAAATAAATTTTAGCACACAAGGAGAGTACAATCTTTTTCACATTCTATCTCAGGTTGGTATGCCAGTGACGTGACCAGATACCGTGCGGAGAACGATCGAGAAACCTAGTCAGCTTGGTTACTTCCGGGCTTGCCATATCTAACATGTTTCACTCGCGAAATCATTAAAACTTCTATTTCTCGTTTTCGACCTTTTACTCGACAAATTCTAATTATATCCTTCTTCCGATCGATATGTGCCCACACTTTTGTTTGTTTTTCCGGCTTCTTGTCATTTTTATCATGCCATCTTCACGTAGCATGTCCCGGCAACCGGATTCACCTCAGGTCGTCGTTGACCCAGTCTACTGAGGCCTACTGATTTCTCTCTCTTTGGATGTAACTGTTTAGTGCGCTAACTTCCAAACATCGCATCTTCATGTCGTTGTACCTGATGAGGTCATTTCTTTCGAGTTAGATGAGCTATCCAAAGCTAATATACCATCCCATCTCATGATACTTGTTGGCGTGTTATGTTATTTATTATTTACGCATGTATTTATCTGCTTGTTTGTCGCGTTTCTTTTCAGATTTACCTCTGATAACCCTCCAATGGTTTCTCACGCTTTACGCGAGCGTGTGCCCCACTGCAATGACGTTCCGCATTTGGGACTTGTTCTTTTACGAAGGTTCCGTTGTGCTGTTTCGTGTGGCCCTTGCTCTCCTCTCCATGCGCGTAAGTGCAGTTCGGGTCACATTCAATTGGTTCAACACTCGTCGTTTTTCGCTTGCTCGGGATATGTATTGCCTTGGCCCATGTCCCGTTGTGTTTTGTGTGTGTGTACGAGCGTTGTTCTCAGTAAGCATCGCCCATTTGCGACGAATTGCCACGCATTCACCCAATACTCCTCATACACCTCGACCCTGAAAGAAATCACTTGTTTGCCTTCTAGAAGATTTCCGCAGGTACAACAACAATGTGAGGAAAATACTGTTTACTGCAAGCATTCCGATGGCGTTACATGACACCCATGTAACGGAAGTTTGGTCATGAAATCAGATGGACCACCTCACTGTTCAAGTCCAGAATTCTCAGGGTTGATAATCCCAAGGCAGAATGGTTGCTTTTTCTGCTCTCGAATAGTGAAAGAAATGGCACCACCTCAACCAGCTGCAACGAAGCACAGTGGTTGATCCACGCACTCCACGACTTCCATCAATCGTTACCGAAAAACCGCACCAACTCTCTGGTGATCTTTTTGGTCACGCTCTATTCAGCCGTGTGGTGCATTGCAATGGTGCTTTCCTAACGGCAATTATTGACTTCCTTCTCCTTATATGATAGGAGCCAAGGTGACCACCATCTTGCTACTGGCCCCGTTGTCATTACTTCTAGCTTCTTATCTGTCGGTGACCAATTGGTTCAGGTATCTGGTTTGTAATCCATACACCACCGGTTCGCGTCTGCGAAGATGCAGGCAACCTTGAAGTATACATAATCGGATGAACACGGCTAGTAGTGGCAACGAAATGTCGGTACAACGTACCGGCATACTGACTATGCAACGTCCTACCTGCCTACCAATTTTCCCTTCTGCACCGTACCATGGCGACTCGCTGTTCCTCGGGGAACTCGAATTATGAAGACCAAGTCAACTTCCGCCTCGGTGCGTTGACTATTTTGTTGTGCGTTTTGCATGGTAACTGAACAGCGTATTTATTATAAGCAATTTACCACGGTAGATGCATTTTACACGTCGCACGCTCACAACATTGCACCCCCAGGTAGAGATAGCATAACTGTGACTCGCATCCCGGGGCGTTTGGGATGTTAGCCGAGACCTCTACTACTAAGGCACTAAGTCGCGGTGAGCGACGCTTGTCACAACGGCTAATGACTAGGTGTGAATTATTCCGAAGCACACGTGATCTTAAGCAGGGCCGCGACTCTTTTTGATCTGAACTTTGATCAGTTTTGTCACCTGGACCGCATTTGATGCACTCCACGACGCGTTTCGAACTTATTTAATCCCATGAAGTAGAGTCAACTCATAGCCTTATGAACCACAATTCTGCCCTATAATCTGATGGCGCCAGTTCGAGTCTGCATCGAGACTGGGCGACCCTCGCAGTATCCTTAGCCCACGTGCGACTGGTGGTGGTTGCGCGGCAGCGAAGCGTCCATACTGCGCACCGGCATACTGCTGATGCCTTTATCAACTGACGATAGCAAGACTGTAAATTTCGCGAGCTAAACGGATAGTTTGCAGACGTTTCGTTGCCGGACTAGGCAATATCATCAGTGCGACTTCGAGAGCCTGGTTCACTGAACCCTCTTAAGCTGTCTATATAGATTCAATTGCTTCCTGATCCATGTCTACTTTGAATGCTAGGTTTCAATAAACTGTAACTGAACCCGGGACCTTTGGGTCATCAACTGAAACCGCTACGCCTAAAACCTACCGAATCGCGGTCCCAGTCACTGAAATTTACTCCGAAATGAGGTTGTGCATTGTCGTTCATTCACACAGCGAGTGTTTCAATGAAGACCCTACTTAAGCATACTTCAGTTGTTCTCCTTGAATAGAACGCAATGTTTGGCACAATTGATCGTGCAATTTTGTGTTCTTGCGTACCGCTAAAGGATGTACTCGTGTTGTTCCTCTCTGTGCCACTATCGCTGTACTCGAAGACTCAAGAGGCCATTGTACATCGAGAGCAATCCAATGAGTTCATGGCGACGAGTGGAGTGTGTCATAACTGTTCCATCTCTCCTCTTTAGCTTGGTGATTCAGATGATCATGAGCAACTTTGTCCCGCCTTTGTTCACTTCTTCTGACGTAGGGAACTGCTTGTGTCAAACTTGGAGTATGCGAATAGTGTGTCTCCCTTAGTTAGGATCGGATCCAGTTGACATGTGAACGCCAATGAATGTGCCTGCGCGCAGCGCTATCCGCTTCTTCATGTGCATTGGGTAAACCCACTCCCATTTCTCAGTATCGCCTAATGTTCACTCGAAGTGATCGAGCGGTTTATCTATCGAGGTTGCCGCATCGCTCGTGGAATTCAAAGTGCCATGGATGTTACTGCACACACTTGCCATAATCAATGATGGCAACTGCGAGGCACACCGTATCATATATATCGGAGACGTGGTGTCCTTTAGGCCCCAGCGTCTGCGAAGCATCCGCGCAATCTGTGTAGAACACCGGCTGTGATTAACCTTGAGGAATTCAGTAGTTACTGTTTGCGATACCGCGTACATCCTCTCCCCATTGCTAACTTTTTGTGTGTGTTACAGCGAGGGGCTTGACTGAACTGGCTGTGAAGCGCGGGGCCTTTTTTGTGTATTTCAGTTTCCTGAGCGGATATCTGGTATGGGAAACATCTCAGCAGTACCTTGACACATCGTATCGACGTTTCACTGTCACCTGACCATTACCATTCGCTCGCTGACTGGATATACCGTGAGGTCACCCCCATCTACTCCGATTCTAGTCAGTGACCTCCGGGTTACGAGGCAAACGCGTAATCCTTTCGGCCGACAGTTGACGATCCTATAGGGTATATTGTAATCACGCAGCCCGACCACTTGTACATTCTGTTAATTGTTTCTTCTCTCTTGGCTTGAAGCTGGCAGTAGCAAACTTCTTATCAGCGTGTGTTCCCTTTTACGTTTGGAGACAACGCTCTCTCTCTAGTTATGCATTTTCGATTCGTAACTCTTCGTTGCCAGGGTAACTTACAGTGACTGATTCGCAACGCCTCACGTGCCACTTTTAGGTCCAAGTGCTTGCCGATCAAGCTTTGCTTTGAACGTCAGGCTTCAATGAACTCATATGCCTGTCCGTTTTATGCGTTTCTGAGGATTTCGATGGTCTCCAGACCAAATGGATGGCTTTCGACATCCACATGCATTGATATTCCTGGTTTCTGATCCTGACGGTGAATGACTAGGCTGTTTATATTGTCTTATGCTATGCTTTTGTGCCGTTTGTCTTACCGGTTTCGGTAGATCTTACACGTCCTCCAAAATTATTCCGCTTTTCTAAATGTGTTTTGCACCGTGCAAGTTTTAATTCGAGTTGTTTCCGTTGGTTTCCGAGAGGCGTCTTACTACCGCTTTTCATATATTATGTTGATGTATGACAACGCGGCTCTCTTTTCAGCTGTTGCGTTTGTGGAAATGTGTTGTGGTTCTTTTTTTGTGATGCCAGGCAGGTCAGATTAAAGTGTTATGGGTGTGGATTTCCTTTGAACAGGCTGAAGCCACTTCAACTGCAGTCTGCCACTATGTGTTCGGCCTCATTCGAATTGGGTTCTCACGCAGCCGTACACTTGTGGATTCTCGGATTATATTAGTGGTGTAGTTCAGGACCTGAGGCGTACGCGTTGATCTTCGATCGGCTTTCATTTTCAGTGATTCAGTAGCAGCACTTTTATAAAAGCGTCTAAAAATGATAACTGTCCGTTGCTCTCCTTCTTCTTGATGGATTGAATGCCATTTAACGCTGGACTGCTTGATTATGGTGGTGAAGGTGTTTTGGTTTCGTGACGTGGACTGCTATCCTTTCCGGCACCTGCATCGTCACCTCAGCTACCAACCCATAGATCGGCGCTTTCATTGCTGAGCCTCTTGCCCCGTGATAACCGGCTCCTTTCCCTTGCGTCATCTGTGCATCTTAGCCAGCGAACTTTTTTGGCCGTCTCGTACACCCTAAATGCAAGAGGATCTAGTTGAGTCAGTGGTTGTCCTCTCTTTTCTTCTATCTCTTTCTCGATGCTCCGGTCACATGAGATAACAACACGGAATCGGAGCATCAGGGTACTACTACTCGGCATCCTTACTATGGGAAAGATATTCAACAACAAACATATCCGCTGTGCTCCTTATTGGAACGTGCGTTGGACTCGATCCCTCCCTCCCCACTGGCCACGTCATATGCTCCGTATGCCTGCAAACTGCCCACATCGATCTGTGGAGTTCACTGGTGGGCACATTTAGTTGTGTGCAACTGTGGCCAGTCAGTTCTTTTCAGTTCATTTCAGTTGAACTCTGGTCCGAGCACCGAAGTGCGGTGAATCCAGTTGCCACGGCTCACATCGCAACGATAACAATGAATAACTACGTCATGATAGTGGCGCTGAATGCAAATAGAGTGTAAAGAAAATGGAAGCAGAATGGAATGCAGATTAACCACCATGTGCAAGAAACTGAATGTACCAACACCACTGACTGCGCGACTGCGCCACTTCTGATACGGTCTCCAACCATTGGTATGGACTATCCCGAGGCCCCCATCCAGGTAGACGGCACGCACCAAGTCTCTCAGTCAGTTTCACTCATGCCTCTATGTCACCTCATGGACTGGCCACTTCGCGGTTTCACCCATTTTGGTGCAACCACGGAGTATAATACACGAAAAGGCAACCGATCAACGGGCGTACAGAGGACATGGCCTATCCAACGCAAGCGATTAAGATTGAGTAAACACTCGAGTGAGTAACCAGGAGGCTTTTCGCCAAAAATTAACTGGCAAGCCTCAGCAATTCTCACCTGACGTTCCCAACAGACGTGATTAATACTCCGCAAGCACCGGTGATCAAACACGTCCAAACGTTTAGGGTTTTCGCCGCGACCTGGTCAGGTCTCATATCCATACAGTAACACCGACCTTACCGCAGTGTTATGCACCCTACCTTTCAACGCCAGGCTGATATCCAGTCGTCTCCATGAAGTGGCCAGTCAATGGCGTGGCTAATGAGCATGAACGTTGAATCGTTGAAAGCTAAGTTGGTCCGATGTTTATCCTCTTGATTGGGGGGGGGGGGCCTCGATATTGGTCACTTTAGTGGTCAACTTCCCTGCTAGCTTTTGCGGTCATTAAGTCAGTGGCACCCCTGTGCCTCATTTATTACTCGTGGCTGTTTCAGTTGCAGTCAGATTGTTCACCGCTCTCGGTAATTTTGTTGCGAACGTTTTGTCATCATCAATCGAGGTGGCATCTCACCAGTGCGTGGTAATGTAGCGCAGCGCATTGATGATACCACCTCGAATGGTGCTGAAACGCTTGTAACAAACACACTATTCTGGCTCTGTGAACGATCGAGCAGCAAAGCAACAGCATGTGCTAGTAACATTTGCCTCCACATCTTAACCACTTTATTTAACGATTGTCCATTCAACCAAGTATTTGTTGTTGTTGTTGTTGTTGTTGTTGTTGTTTTGGTGATATGAGTCAAGGCGGCTGCATCCACCGAACTGTGCTCACCGTTTTGAATCACGACGTCTTACCTTTAACCCACCGTCTGTTGACAATTCAACACAACCCTATAGCACCCAGTGGTTGTAGACCTCGCCCCATTCTGTCGAATTCGCGTAAGCCGGATCATTCGGTAGATATACTTGACCGCAATCTCGACATTGTTCTCTCACGGACACCATAATAGTTTCAAGCTTGTTGTACCCGATTTGCCGTGGGATCACAATTTCACGCTTCATGTACTCCGATCATCATTATCCTCATTCCTTCTTTTCTCCATCCTCAAAGGAATCAGAATTGCTCAGTTTGGAGAACGCGTCGCAAATCTTCAACCTTCTCTCCAGTTGCCCCAGTTCCATCACCGATGTCAATGAGCTCATTCGGGTACGCGCGCTTTCTCCTTGTGCATGTATTTTTACTCAGACGATGTGGTCAACCGCTTTGGATGGCTTTTCTGTGTTGCTCTCTTCGCTTCCTGCATTCCACGACGCATTTCGTCCTGCTTGGTACTCATTAGCTGGAGATAATCGGAACTGGAATTGCAACTCGGGGTACATAGTGGTTCGGGGCTATCACTATGATCACTAGACCATTGAGCCCCTCGAGCAGAGCTTGACCTAACTGTTGTTGATTCAAAACTGTGCCAACTATGTTGGACTTAAATATAATCAAATTTTATTCTCGAGAATTTCGAGGCACACTATTGTAAGCATAGTGATAAGTTTGCAGGAATTTATAGGTGTTCAAACTACTAAAATCCCGTGCGACTTTACAAGTATAGTACAATATTCATAAAATATGTTAGAAAAAACTCTTCTGCATAGTTTTAATGTCAAGCAATAACAAACATGTGTCATCTAGGTGGAGAATAGAGCCCGCGCAAAAATTAATGCAAGTAGCTCTTGTTCCTCTCTTCGTCGCCTCTCACCAGTAATGACTCAATATCTGTCTTATGGATTATACATATATATATATATATATATATATATATATATATATATATATATATATATATATATGGTTGGCGACATCCGGTTTCGGATTTGCCTGTCACTGTGATCAGCCACAGGACGTCTGCGCCTACAGAGGGACCATGGATGGTTTGCGCTGCACCACCCACAGCTCCATCCACACACCCCATATCCAGTGTAAACCCGAAGGAATAAGACCGGGAGGCATGTGGATGGGAGCCACGTTTCATCAACGGAGCCGGCCCACACTCCTTCACAGGCAACCACAAGCATGCTGGATTTTGGAATCAAGCGCACACAAGGCGGTGGCTGGACCGTAGTCTGCTCCACACTGAGTGCATGGAACCACTTCGAGCCTAGCACGACCACAAGGACCGTGCACCCCGTCCCCTCCAGCAACGACCAACTGTCTCCTGGAGCCAGATGGATGAGGTAGTGGGTACTAGACAGGTAGGCACCTTGTCAACATGCACATCAAGCCCAGCCACACCTGGGATATCAAACAACAGCCAATCACTTGAAATGACAGTAACAAATAAGATATATCTGTTAAAGAATATGACTATGCAGATATAACTCTTCACCAAATTAGCATATGAAGTATGTTGGTTAGCAACGAATTCGCGATAAGTAAAAAATGTCCAGAAGTTACTCAAAACATGCTACAAACTCCATAAAGTTAACCAAGATAACTGTGAATAGTATAAGCAGCGTGAACAGCTAATAGAATATGCAGCGAGGCAGAACAAACCCATTAAAGCGGAATGAAATTTATCCAGCTTAAAAAGAGACCTAGTTTAGGTGTAAGTTGGTTTAGCGCAACTACGGCGAAGAAGCATCATGAATGCAACATCAGCCTCATGATGGGGCAGGAATATATATATATATATATATATATATATATATATATATATATATATATATATATATATATATATATAGTGGCATGGGTAAAGTACTGACCAAGACGGAGGTAGACTGGGTTCTGAAGAAAATACCCCTGTACATTCGCTTCTTCTGCCTGTCTTAGGATGTCGATGACCAGGATAACGCACATGGAGGAGTATTAGGAGTTGATGGGTCGAAATCTGGGGGTGATATGATAACTGTATCACTGTTTTTAATGAAAAAGAGGTCCATCAATATAGGGAATTATGATTGTCCCAAAGGCACACGGAATGGGCAAAGTAGTCACATCATTTGATTTTTAAGTTCAGATTCATCATCAGTGAGAATTAAGGCGCATTCAAATGTGCTCATCTCCACCTTCCTTGTTCGGTGGGGACTTATGGAGACCCTCGTGTGTTTCGACCTCTGCAACGTAACCTCACCATGAATCGGCTTTCACATCCGTAGTGAGCACCGGTGTTCCACTCGCACAGATTGTGTCTGGTGGCTTCATTTGCACCCTACTATTCACTCTCCAATCATCTTCTCAGACTCCTATGGTTCCCAACCAAGATATCGACGCGTAATTAGCATTCGTTGTTAGTATTTGGAGCTCTTAATGTTGCTTCGGCTCTCAGTCAAACAGCGTAGTCTTCTCGAGAAAGCATACCCTATACTATGTGCAGATATGATGTCACCCATCTGAGTATTTTGCTTTTTACTCTAGAAAAAGCAACATCGGAATTCGATTTCAATACTTTGATTACTTCTCGACATTTTTTGGTCAGTGTTTGATGATCTGTTCTCGCAGCGTAGATATTGTTGACAGATGTTCACCAAGGTGGTCTTGAAAGTGTCTCTGACCAGAGTCGGAAAGGGTGCTAATATAGCTAGTTGTGATCCATTTACCGGTTGGGCGAATCAGGATTTTGCCCCGACTGATAATGATCCAAGTCAAGCTCGGCCTAACCTAATCAATTGGCGAACATGTTGTTAGAACCCAAGGGGCAGGCGGTAATTGTTTATTGCTAAAGTGGCTTAAACTAGGTGTGTTCGTTCATACCTTGGAGGCGTCCGCTCATATGCGTGATCTCCATGGAGTGTTCCCCAACTGGTGCTTGCCTCTGTGTTCACTCCTCGTGCGCATGGAACTGTAATCCTGATGTCATCTTCAACTTTGGGGAAGTCGGCAGGGCTCGCTGTTGGTGTGTCATCTTGCACCACCACACTACTTATACCCGGCGCAGTAGTATCCACCTTTAATCCACCACAATGTCTGTATAGAAACGCGATTTGAAAACTTAATGCGTCAACTGGCTAAGTTAACACGTTTCCTCTAGCCAGAGACACTTTGAAGACCATCTTGATGCACCTCTGTCAGCAATGGCCACACTGTAAGAACAGATCATCAAACATCTTGCCGAAGAAACATCGTGAAGGAATCAAAGAATGGAAATTGTATCCCAGCTGAGGGATTAGGATGGTTATTGATGGCTAGATTGGATTGTGTCTCGAAACTGCAAGTTACTCTCCATTGTTTCTGAGTTACTATTTTGTTAGTTGATAATGTGTTGCAAATGCTGTCTGTTTTCCCTACCCACCTGCATTTGGTGCACTCAAATGTTGACTCGCATACGCAACTGCCCTACACGACTAGCAACACGCTGTATCGGTGAACGTTGTAGTAGATCTAAGCACTTCAACGCACCCATTGTTCGTTTTTCATCACTATGTAAGCAAAAGTGTCAGTATTTGTTAACAACCTGTTTACTATTACGTACTATATACGCCACCTCCATTTGTTGATGAAATGTGTGCAACCGGGATTGCTCAACTCTTTAGGCGCATTAACACCTCACGATTATTTCAATTCGTCTCTCTGAATGCGGACACTGGTGCTTGCGTACTTTTTTCCGATAATTCACCTTTATTCCGAGTGTTCCGTTCCATCATACGCCATTGTAACAACCAGCTGGCCAATTCTATATCGCTCCCATTTTGTTAACGTTACTATTCTGGCGTTCTTCCTTTTACGGGCCTGTTGTGTAATGCGCCCTCATCGATCCTTTCAGGTGGCATACTCTCTCGATGAGGAGCACTTGGATGCGTCCAATCTGGGTGCTCTTCGCCGTCACCATTTGGCACAGCTAATGGTGGAGCACAATTCCTCTCTTCGACCGGATAGTAGGCTGAATTTGCCAAAGCAGGTCAGTTGAACTTTTCATTCCCAGAGTCCGGTGTTATGATATCGGCTGCGCGCCCCTTCGACTCATTGATCTATACTTGATTACACTTTTTCGCTGGTTGAAACATTCATCTTCCAGCATTGTCAATCGTTGGAGTTCAGAAGAACCAAGACTCCTGTGATCTTCGAGATTGTGTACCGAAACTGAGTTGGTGCTCATTTGTGTGAAACTGGTCCATTTCGTGGACCGTCGTTACATTCCTCTCCCTGTGCTACTGGGCCCCGAAGCATTTTAACCTGAGAATCTGATCATTTTTTTCGCCTAAGTCCAGGATTACTCGAAGTATTCCCATCTACATGCCACCATTTTTGTACCTAGCTGATGTGACCTGCGTCCCTGTGCTAACACCGATTAACAGATGTGGGGGAATATAAAATGCAAAAAACGGTTGTGGAACGGTGATCAAACTTACTCCGGCTTGAAAGTTGGGTGCGCAGACAACTGCTTGCGTAAACACCTTTGGCTGCGCCCCTTCGGATATAGTCTCCAACCGTTAATCTGACCTATCACTTTGCTCCTACCCTGGAAAGCGGTGGCTTTTCCAGTTCGACTTAGTTTCTCAAACAATCTCTTCCCACTTTACTGCTGAAACATCGAGATTTCGCCCGATCGGCTGTAGCAACGGTGAGCGGTGTGTGCTGTGGGAGCAAGAGATCTACGGGCATACGACGACTGCCTAATCAACATAGGCAGTTTGACTGTCACCCAGTCTCTCCACACACCAACTTGCGGACGCATCGGTACTGCTCACTCCCGGTGCGTCCACGAACCATGTTAGCATCACTGCTCAACTACTGGTGATGCAAAACGGCTAGTTTCTCCTGGTGTGTACAGTGCGCAGCTGCCGTGTTGCTTCATCAGCATCATTACACATTAGATGAACATGAGAAAATTCAACCATTGAAAAGGCGAGGTATTAAACATTACATGATACAAAACTAACTGGCTAATAAGTGATATAATAATGTTTTATATCATCCTTGTTGGACTGGGAAGCTAAAGGAGATAGGGCAACACAAACGCCACTGAGGTGAACCCTTCGCCATGTCGACAAGTATATCCAACCAAGCATATTCATCATCTTTCGGATCCCAGCCTAGCAGTCGGGAGACATCAACCGGCAGCAAGTTCGAGGTGAAGGATTTCATTCCTCTTAACCAAGTCATCGCTCGGCTACCCCTTCTCTGCGTCAATTCACACCCCCGGCGCGCAAACAACGCACGAAGCGGGAGTCGGTGTGGTGTCATGCGCAACACGTGGCCCAACCATCGGAGCCTAGTACGTGAAGTAGCGGTGCTGAGCGGTTCACTCACTCTTCCTGCACCAATTACGAAACGTCAAACACGCTCATCGCTCACGCGGTGTTCCCACCAGGCAAGAGCTAAGCTACGAACGCTGCTGTGGTCAAACGTAACAAGCCACTTTAGGTCTGCCAATTTGAAGTCCTGGTTTCGCAACCGTACAGAAGGGTTGTATGGACAGTTGCATTGTAAACTCTACCCCTCAGGGCGCGTGAGTCATGACGCGCCGACGGCACAGGTGGCGGAGCTTTTAGCAAAAACACCTCGAGCTCACTGGTCTAGTTATCATGGCGATAGGCGCCAACCACTGTGTACCGGGTTCCACTCTCAATGCAGGCTATCTGTACCTGTTGAGTCCAAACAAGGACGAAACGCGCCATGGAGTGCAGTTATGGGGGAGAACAACACCGAAACCCACCACTTCGAGCTTTGCCTATACAATTTGTGATCTCATCCTCTATTCCACCGACACTAAGTTTATGGACGACTTCTACCTGATCATCACCAAGGGTTAGCGTAGAGTTAAGTCCCTGCCTATCTTGGAGAAGCACTTTGCTTTTCGAGAATGCAGAGCATAGCCTAAAACAGTTGACAGCCAGTGCTTATCTGTCCAATGCTGCTTGGCATGTTTTGGCGCTGTCACATATGAGGGCAATGTCGTCCCCTCACCAGGAAGTAGCTTCACACCTTGTATGTTGTGTCCAGCGAACACTGTTTCCATGACGTCGTCAATTGTTAAATTAAAAAGGAAAGGTGACGGCGAACAACCTTATCTCACACCACTGGAAATATTGAAGGGCGGCGATAGCTTACTGAACTATGCGCGTACAGCGCTCTTATGACACCTCCATATTTATCGGACACACTTTTCCACCGAAGACACCTTTGATGTCGAGGAACACGACTACGGTGGGTCGCCAATAAATATGGCGGTGTTGCTTACCTGTACACTAACACCGGTTGTGCCGCTGCGTTGTGTACATCCTTCCTTCACCTAGTTAGATTGGCTCCCGCCCTCTCCATCAATGCTTAAGACACGTGATGTTACCGTGGTATTTTTAATGCTAGAGGTGATGTGACCACAGATGAACCGATCAGCTACTTCGATTGGCTTTTTGGTGATACCTAGAACCTGTTGTGTGTATTGCTGCGCTTCAGTTTGCTAAATCTGGTGGGCTAAAAGCAGGTGCTGCTGAGCCAAGAGTCAGTAGTAAAGGAGTACCAAGAAAAGCAGATGACGGGCCAACAGCGGGCCATACCATTGTTCCAAAAGAAGGAAAACGCTTGGAAGCCATGGATGTATGTGCGCCATGAATAGATACAGAAGCGACGCGCGCAACGCATCCCACACGAAAGTTTAAAGATGAGTAGAACGATTTGTGATCAGAGCTGATACATATGCCGCGCCGTAGCCCTAAGGATCACAAGCTTGCCTTGTAACGAGGTCGCGGGTTCGAACCTGTGTACGGACCGGGTGACTCACAATATCCTTAGCCCACATGCGACTGGTAGTGGTTGCGCGGCATCGAAGCGTCGGTACTGCTTATGGTTGATATTTGCCACAATACATAACCCGGCTCGCACCGTAGGCCCTTACAAGATGATTATGCAGAAGCTGGATCTAACCCAGGGGATCTCTGTCATCGGCGTCCCATAGGTATCAGATGATCACCTGATAGAACTTCCATTTCGTAAGAAGCTGAGTGAACTGGACCATTTGTGATCACTTTGATCACGAATTTTACGAGAAACAGATAAATTGAGCGATCCCACCATGGGTCCTTACCTCGCCTCGGAATTCACGGCGGGGTTTAGATTCGGAAGGCGTTTTCTTAGCGCGCCCTTTAGGCTTAGGCAATACCACAAGTCCATTGGTCTAGCTAAATCGGAGTGAACCAAATCACCGTGATGGGTTATCTGTGGTATACATTCCTCTGTCCTAACGTTTGTCGGAGTGTAAGATTATTGCACAATGCATCGGTATATGGTATTAATGCATCACTGGTTTTTACGATGCCCATCATCAGATTGATTGACAGGGAGATTTGTCCGTTATTTAATGCTTTCTTGTTTCTCATCGAAACACGTCTATAGAGGGACTGGATCGGAGGTGACGATGTGTACTGTGATGAATACCTGGTGGCAATCCATGGGATTTGGTTGGTCCACAAATCACGACATTCGGAATCCGTGTTGCACGTGTTGTTCCATTTTTCATCAGTCTAACAACCCAATGCTGTATGTGACCGACCATCGTTTGGATTCAGCTCTCATGACGTTCAGCCTACTGCCATGTAATTTGCCCGTTCGTCCGCAGGCTATAACACTCAACCGAAGTGATGATGGAGTGACAATAAGCTCACCGGTATCTCATTGTTCTCACAAGATAGCCGGCATTTTTTCATACGACATCGAGGCTTCATTACGCAATAGCTACACAGAGTTCAATTTGCGAATAGTCATGTGAAGGGAAGCTGCACTTTGGTTCAGTAGCTCTTAATGTTGGTTGGTCAGAAACCACCCAATAAAAGTACGCGGCTGCACTAGCCAACCAATGAGAACGCATTCAGTGAGGTCACAAGCTTTATCCCATAATCAAAGCCATTTCACTCTGATAAACGCCGTGTCCCTCGGACCATTACTGACCTTATTATCGAGATTTTCGTTTTTTGATCCCGGGACTTGACTGAGTCGGAAGCCGCAGTTGTTCTGTTGTGTCATCCATATTGTCAGCAGGTACAAAATGAGCTATTTTCCACGGCTGATCATAGCGACCATCAAGCGACCTTCGCTTCAGTCTTCCTCGGATCGATGGAACACATGGGGATACGAGTAAAGGGCAAAGTTCTCTTAATTATTTTTCTTAACTGGTACTGCTCCCTTGTATTTCAGCGTCTACCGATTCTAAAGGTGAGCATCCAATTGGTTGTGTGGACCACGGGGTTTGGGACAACATAGTTCGCATCACCTACACATTGCACGGTGTTTGGCACGGTTTCATGTTCTCACGGTCAACGGTTTGTATTCTCACTCATGGTCCAGCATAAACACTTTCTGCTTTGTCGCCTGGCTGTGGTAATGTACTGCATAGTACTACGCTCATGTCTCACCCTTCTAGTGCGAATCGATTGGAATAAGACCGAAAGAGGATCAGGGCTTTTGATGCACCTGTGCGCAATTCGCCAACACGCGCAGGTCAACCGTGCATACGTGAACTCCCTTTTTGTGTGCTACATGGTCACGTTAAAGTCCAAATAACATGAACGTATTGAGTGTACTTGCATTTTGAAGTATCCGACTCTTGCTGACTCGTAAATCATGGCGGTCCGACACTGCCCCTCGTGACTCAGTTGCATTAGCTACTAACTGACGATGGTCATGGTTTCGAATCCTAAAAGATCCGATGGATGCGCACTACTGCTGATGCCCAACCGACTGAAACTGCAGTCTAGTGCTTTTCCGGGCATTTGCGCGACTATCTGATTTGAAATCTGCTGTGATGAACCCAATTAACTTTAATTTTTACCTACTTTTGAATATAACTTTCTTTGTTCACTCATTCCTTTTTATCTTAATGACTGTGATATGTCGCACTTCGATGTTCATGACAAAACTGGTCAGTTTTACCCACCACTTCAACATACGTATGTGGAAAATCTT